CATATCCTTTCTAGCGGCTTGTAAAATATATGATAGCAAAGTTTCACCAATTTTACTGTATGGGTCTGAAAGATACTTTGAGGTTATAGAAAATGTTCACACACATTATTTAAAATGTTTTTTGCGGGTTTGCAAAATCGCATCCAATAAGGCTATACTTGGTGAAACAGGGCGCTACACGATGTTTGTTTCAACACAGATAAGGGTTATAAAATACTGGATAAAAATACTTCATATGAATTGTTCTTGATATCCATACCAATGCTATATAATGTTAAAAAAAATAGATGATGCTGGAAAGCAAAACTGGGTGTCAAATCTCAGTAATTTGCTATTTTACACAGGTTTTACCCACGTTTGGTTATCAAATAGTGTGGGTGATTATATATTGTTTACAACTATATTCAAACAACGGTTGAAAGGTACTGATTTCCAAATTGGCATAGTTTTATATCATCTTTGCACTATTTAAGAAATTATAGCATCATTAAGACTTTGTTGCAGACTGAAAAATATTTAATGTGTCTCTCGGATAGGTCTTTGATAAGAGCCTTATGTAACTTTAGAATATCTCTTCATGATTTTAATATTAATCACCTACGTAGAAACAAAAATGAACATGTATATAAATCACTGTTTGCAATTTGATCTTAACGTTATGGAGGACGAGTTCCACGTCCTGTTCATTTGTAAAAAGTATCATGACCTAAGATTAAAATATCTATCAAGCCTATCTAATGTTAATCACTATTCAGTGAAACTCTTGTGTAATATATTAAATACAAACAATGAGGATAATTTACGAGCACTCGCCATTTTTCTTAAAAATGTATTTCTATTGAGATGTAAATGGAAATAAAAACATTGCTGTATTGTTCACCACGTGACATGTGTTCTATCAAATACAATTGTATTCTAAGCTATGAGGCCGAAATACTGAATAAATATATATCATATCATATCAAATACCCTATTGATTGGTCTTTCTAGGGAAATTTGTTAATTTGTGAATCTATGCCGTATTTTAGTTTCCCACAACGCCTCATTGTAATTCACTCCTATGAAGAAAAACAAGGGGTGCTTAACTTTATTTACTGTGTATATTTGACTATGAAATCGAGAGACAAATTTCGTTTAAGAAATCATGTCGCGGACATCCCATAGATAAAGGGCGTACAAGCGTAATGTACGCCTAAAATCAATGAAGTACGACATAATATAAGATTTCAAGCGTATCATGTACGCACATAAATACCTTTGTACGTCTAACATTTTATTTCCCTGCGTATCGTGCAAATGCAATTCTATTTCGGATCAAGTCTTGTTGTCAAGAGTTTCTTCGCAAAACGCGATTTGACTCATGAGGAAACCCCGGCAGTGGGAATTCCTTGCGTTGCCATGCAACGATATGCGTAACTATTCGATTGACTAAAAACTACAGTTCCTATTTATATCCAGGCGGACCAGACATTTCCAACATGGCATGTCAAAAACAAATAACGAGTTTCTATGGAAATAGTTGGTCTAAATCGGAATCAGACGCATTTTCGACAACGAAATTGGTGGAGGAATTAATCAATGAATTATCGTTTGGTTACACGACCACGAAGACACAAGGACGGGTACAAGTTACAGACCGCGACTGAAAAGAGCTGGCAGAAGTCGTACCCATGGTTGGAAATAGTGATCGACGCATCGTCCGGACAGAGGAAATTGTTTTGTGCATTGTGTAAAGTACAGAAGAAGCAAAATGTTACAGGCACATTGGTGTCAAACAATGTGCAAATATCAGCTGTGATTAATCACAGCAATCTCTCAGATCATCAGGCTGCAGAAAGACTGAGTTTGACTGACTGAGTTTTGGTTTTACGCCGCTTTTAGCATTATTCCAGCAAAATCACGGCGGGGGACACCAGAAATGGGCTTCACACATTGTACCCATGTGGGGATTCGAACCCGGGTCTTCGGCGTGACGAGCCAACGCTTTAACCATTAGGCTACCCCACCGCCCCCAATTGAGTTAAAAACGCCTATCATTGTCTGACGACGAAGCAGGCAAAATAGATGTAGGTGATAACAGCGATATTGTTGTTACGGACAGTGATAAAGTGGTGTTCAGAACAGAGTACTTTGCAGCTAAAGAAGAAATGCCGACCAGTAAAATCAACAAACTACGCAAGTTGCAGACATCAAATGGAGTGGACAGATTATCAGAATCTCTCCTGGGCCTCTCTCTCTCTCTTCAATTCTAACGGAGGAACTGGTAAATACAGTGAAGGACTTCTTTGCAATAATGATTGATGAATCGCATGACATAGCAGTTCATAAACAGGTTATTGTGTGCATCCGTTTGTGATAAAAGGGGTACCTATCACAGAGTACTTTACTAACGTGCAAGTTGATGACGGCAAGGAACATACGATTACAGGGTGTGTGGAGCATGCTCTCTCTAATCTAAACTTGGACATGACAAAGTTACTCAGTCTTGACACTGATGGGGCGGCTACTATGATTGGCAGGAAAAGCGGTGTCGGAGTTCACATTAAACACAAATTTGACCCATTTATGGTACATAGTCACTGTCAGGCCCTCAGGTTCAGTTTGGCCTGTGTGGATTCCATTAAGAAACTAACATTACTAGAGACATTCAAGTCAAGGTTCAATACGCTTTATTGTTTTTTTAGTACATTAGGTGTAAGAACTGCAACTCTCGACAGGGTGCAAACTATTCTAGATGACCCAGTTGTTAAACTCGAAGAACCTCACAGTGTTAGGTGGCTCAGCAGTGAAAGCTGTCTACCGGTGTTATTATGCCTCAGTGCTTGTTGCCTTGTCACAGTTGGGAGAGACAAATGCAGTGGCCAAATCCCTCTACACCTACTTCAGTGATGAACAGACTACCTTTCTAACAGCATACATGTACGATGTACATGAACAGTTGGCAATTCTCAGCTGTCAGCTCCAGAAGGAAGACATCGTCTTCAGTGAGGTCAAACCTCTGGATGGTTGTGTTTGTGCTGTCAAAGAAATAGAGGAAGGTGGACAATACTTTCAGAAAATGAAATTAGATCAAGGGGAGAGCTCTGCATTAAAAGGTGTTGAACTGGAGAAAATGAACACTAAAAAGGAGTCAGATTGCTCTGAAAGGTTGTATGGAGAAGTATGTTAAGAACCTTTGTGAGAACATCGAGGCTAGAATGTCGGATACATCCGGTATGCTATATACGTTTGGTGAAGTCCTGCAACCAGAGTGTTTTGATGCAGATGTTGCCAAGGAAGCAGTCAAGGAGCTTGGTAACTTCTATGGAGAGGCAAAACAGACCAAAATCATCCATGAAGATAGTGATGAGCCTGATGTTAATGATGTGGAATCCCTCATTGACAGACGTGAACTAGTTGAAGAGTGGCCTGTGCTTAAAGGAATGGTGCTTGGTACTTACAAGAAACTGACATGTCGTGAGCTGTGAAGGAGGGTTATCACTCTACACACTGACTTGATCCCCAACATTAGTAAACTGTGTCAGATTGCCTCATGTCTCTGTCTAACCAGTGTTAAATGTGAGACTTCGTTTAATGTTCAGAACAGAATTAAAGACAAACACAGGTCATCCCTCAAAACCTCCACGCTGTGTACACTGATGAAGATTAACCTGCTGGGTCCAGAGTTGGATTGTTGTGAAGCTGTTGTCATCAAAGCTGTGAAACTGTGGAAGCGGCGCAAGAGAAGGAGGTTCTTCATGCTCACTACAGGATATAAAGCCAGAGTCAAGAAGTCTAAAGTGTCTTAAGAGACTTGGTCATGTGTTGACTGCTCTGTATCAGCATGCCTGATATTTGCATGAACTTTATTGCTCATGTGAGAGTATTCTGATAGTATAACTGTCTTTATTCTAACTTCACACTCAGTGACTTGTATATACAGTATAACTCTGAGTGAACACTTTGTGAAATAAACAATAAACCAAAATTAATTCTCTTTATTTCTGCGTCATATACTGAAAAGTTGTTTAATGTTATAAATAACAAACCACATCACCAACTCGCTCACACAAAAACATGTCCGTACTCCTTCAAAATTCTCAGTACACCTCCACTTGCAATATGAGGTGTAAGTACACCCGCACCCCCAAAAGTTATCTGGAGCCATGTTGAGCATGCACAAAGTATGCGCCGTTGCTCTGCGTTCTGACATGCGTGCAGTAGTAGCAGCGCAGTAGGGTGTCCAACAGCGCCACAAGAGCTCTGTGGGCGCTCACCACGCACTATGGTAGTTGGCGGCGCTTAAAGACCCTGCCACACTTATATGAAGTGCTTATGGGTTCCTTATTAAAAAAAATTCAGTACGCAGTCATACGCTCAAAATTGTGATTTTTTTCAATTACTTTTAATTATGTGTGACGCAAATCTAGCGTATAAATAACGAAATCAGCGCGTCCATTGCGTATGAGGTGCGTATGATTTGCGTAACACTATTTTTCTTGCTGCAAATAGCTGCATATGCAGTGCGCATGCCAAGCGTATTCCGGACGTACCAAACTTATGTCCACCGCACGCCTGACGCAGTTCTGACGAATGCCAAGCGTATTCAGAGCGTATCCCCAATTTATTAAAAAGGCTGCTGCTTCCCGCTGTTTTCATTACGAGTGCAGATTTCATAGCGTGAACATCAACCTTTTGTCATCATAGGCCCCCAGAAACGTGGTTCAACTACTACCCGCATCCTCTGATGCTGAACCCGCTGTTGATTCTCCTAATGCTCTGTTGGGACCAGTCACCTCGATGGTGTCCTGCAGGTTGCGACCCTCTCTCCAAGCTCCAACAACAAAGTCACGATGGTGGTGGTCAGTATCACCTGGAACCTGTTGGTCAGAATGCTAAAGGCATTTTCCACAACCCTCCTGGCATGTGAGAGACGGTAGTTGAAGATCCATTCTTCTCTGGTCATGCACCTGCGACTATAAGGCTTCATCATCGTCTCCAACAATGAAGTAGGGAACATCTTAGATGTCGTTGGGGGGAGGCTCCGGATCTGGGAAGCCGATGGTACCAACCTCTATGCTCTCCTTGATTTCACTGTCATTGAAGACCTGGGCGTCGGATGCAGACCCTAAGCTGCCAATATCTGCCCAGAAAAACTTGTAGTCAGCGTCGACCATGGCAAAGAGCAAGAAGCCCTTGTAGTTGTAGTATATGGAACCACTTCTGGGAGGATAGTGGCAGGCCACGTGCTTTTCATCTATGGCGCCACAGGTGTGGGGAAAATTCCACTTCTGGAAGTACCTGTCAGCTACCTGGCACCATTGACTGGGTGTACTTGGGCAGACCATCAGCTCATCCAGGTACTCTGCTATGATGGTTTCGCAGACCTCTCGGACGACCAAGGAGATGGTGATGTGTGGTACTCGCCAAGCAAACTTCATGGACGTGCAGGTGTTCCCAGAGGCGAGGTGGCGGAGGGTCAATGCCAGCCTGGTTGTATGGAGTGCCTCATGAAGGTGTATTTCTTGGTGAGTCTTCCTCCCACTCTCTCCAGCAGCTCAACATACATGGCAGTGGGCATGCGCAGAAAGTTGGTGAATGCTCTTGTGTCCTCATTTCGGAGCTCCACCATCAGATCACAGACCCCAAACTTCTCCCTAGCCATGGCCGGACCCAGGCGATTCTTCGGTGTGCTCTTCTTCTTATTCTTCTCTCTCTTCTTTGACGAAGGAGATGGAGAGGCAGGTGCATGATGTCATGCTGATGTTTGATGACAGCAATCATGTGGTCTCGCTGGTTCCGGCCTGGATCTGCCATCATCAGGACGTCTGTTCACCCGGGAGTCTAGAGGAGCCATCATACCAAATCTCGAGTGTACGCCGGATGTTCGGCAAGTACGCTATATGTACACTATCTGTGTGTTTGTCATAAGTTACAACTAATTACAATGCACTGAGGGACAAACAAGACTGATTCATGCAATGCGTTGGCATTCGCTATGAGTTCGTCCAGCGTGCGTTGTATCTGCGCTGCAAGTGCGCTATATATACGTCCAAAATACGTGGCTCATAGCTCGTTTTGGGAGATCAGCGTATTACCGCATATGAACCGCTTATCCCCCACGAACACATAGCATATGCGGTACTGCGCTCATCCTATGCAGGAATGATGCTCTGCGTATTTATAACATAACAGCGTACGCATCGTAGTTTTGTGCATGTCCAAAACTATCAGGCGTACCGGGCTGTACTGTGCGCATGCCGGCGTACATACAACTTACACAAAACGATTGACATGCATATGAGATGCGTATTGTGCGTACGACTGCGTATGAAAGAAATGTCAGTGCGCAGGAATAAGGAATAAGGATGCCCAGAAGTGTGACAGGGCCTTGTCACCGTGTCTCTACCGCGTCCTTATGGCGCGTCTACAGCGCTAACACGGAGTGTTAGTTATTTTATTGCGCTACACGGAGCTGCCACACCGATCATTGCGTTCTCAGGGCGCTTCTACCGCGACCACCAGCATTGGCATGGTGTTTGCAGGGCGTTGCCAGTGCGTTGTGAGCCAACCCCATACAAATGGTATAAATGCATTCTCATGTTTGTCCCCCTCATTTCACCATGACTGTTGTGCGCCAGCAAACCGGGCTACTTGTTGCCTATATGCATGTCCAGTAGGTCGCTCCAGACGAGCCGTGGACGAGCGACGAGCGAAATAGCAACTGAGGATGGTGTTTTGTATACACTTCGTGCACGCAAGATGAACGTTTTGGGCATGCCGTTAGCACAATGTACGTACCGTGGACGCACAGTGACAACTTGTAGCAAGCCGTGAACACTCTGTGAGAAAAAGAAAAACCTAAAAAAAAACCTCCTTGGGAACGCGGTAGCACGCCTCGGGCGCTTCGGGGAAACGCCTCGATCGCCTCATTCGCCGTGACATCTCCCCATTTTGAAAATTTAAAATAAAAGTGCAATGTTTTTCAGAACGGCAATCTGAGAAATTTCGTGCCGTGCCAACTCCGTGGAAACGCGGTAGATTGTGACAAAGGTTTAACCGGGCAATGTTTTGACCCACAATTTCAGGATCCTGGCACGTTACATTAAAGCTTAGTCTTCGAAAATCTGTAACTCCATAAGTATTGAAAAGGAGCCCCAGTGATTTTTGGGAATCCGAACCAGAGGAAATCTAGAGTTGCTACATTTAGGACTTAAAACTGCATTGCAGAAAAGACTGGGCTGAAGGGAAAGAATGAAGTTCATGAGGACTATGATACAGACTGGCGTCTATGGGCCCTGTGATGCAAAGGGACTGTAGCTCGTACAAGGAAGGTAGCTCATGTTAAAACCCTAATCTCCTGGAAATATTAGAATTCTCATTTTTAAAAATACAAAAACTGAAGCAGAAGAAAAGATGCCAGGTATCATGTAGTGATACGAGTCAGATTTCAGACACGCTCTTGGGAAAATATGCATCCTCTATCTTACAATTCCATTATATTTTTTACAAACGAAGGTTAACTTTATTTCTGTCAATCATGGTGTAAGGTAGGTAAATTGCTTCCTATTCCTGACTGTTCAGTACCATTTACCACAATATCATGTTTGTGTGTTTGTTGTTTAACGCTCACCCGCAGTCAACAATATTCTCTCTACACGTAAATAATCGTGTTTGGACCAAACAGTCCAATGATCAACATCATATGTATCGATCTATGCAATTTTGATACGATGACATGTGTCAACCAAGTCAGCGAGCCTGACCACCCGATCCCGTTAATTGCCTTTTACTACAAGCATGGGTTGCTGAAGGTTTATTTTAGCCTGAACCTTCATGGGTATGACCGTGCGAGGAAGTTAAGACGAGGCTATCTCTTAAATCATATCGCACTATTAATATTCCAGTTAATATACGTTTGTTACTAATAACTGACCCGTGAAGATACGGGTTAGAATATTGAACTTCAGCAGGGCATGCTTGTCGTAAGAGGCGACTAACGGGATCGGGTGGTCAGGCTCGCTGACTTGGTTGACTCACGTCATCGGTATCCTAACAGCGCAGATCGATGCTGTTGATCACTGGATTGTCTGGTCCAGACTCGATTATTTACAGACCGCCGCCATATAGCTGGAATATTGCTGAGTGCGGCGTAAAACTAAACTCACTCACTCACTTATAACTATGAAACCACCAAATCAATTATTATCATTGATTTTATATTGTTATAATCGGTGTAAAAATATGCCAAAGTCTTCAAATACATCAAACAAAACCACGCAAGAAAGACTTACTTGCTTGATGATATAACTATTAGTTGGAAAGTAGTTTAGTGTTCTGGTACAAAACAGTATTTATACAGAAAGTAACAAGAAATATTCTCCTTGAAAACGATTCGCTAAAAATGTTACTGATATTTGCTGTTTGCGACAGGTATAATTCTAGAATGAAATTATGTACAGACAATTATTGTACAGAGAAACGGCACTTGTTCGGCATGATAATGTTTGCTTCTTATAATTTACATAGAAGTCTTGACAGAAACATTGAGAAATGATATATAAGATGATGTAGACTTCACAGACATGCATAGACTTACCTGCAACAGCCTCATGGTAGCTGTGACACTGTGAACATGTCAACTGAACGGTTGATATTAAATAACGGGGTATTTATGTAACAACACAACGTGCTTTGATATATTTCGTCATTGGGAACATAACATTGTGGTAAAGCTCTCCCGATTTGGATATCTAGACAAAGAGGAAGTGTTCCGTGTCATTTTACGTGAGCAAGGTTGGGAGATATATCCCGACTCGTAAACAACTGCTGTTAGGTTGCACACATTTGTCCTGTATTTCACCAAGACCATTTTACAAGTATACCTACAAATACATTTTCCCGGCACTGCTTTCATGAATAGGGCAAACAAGTGGTGGGAAGTAATACCATGTACTTTTACTGTTTTAATTTAGGTGTGTATCGTTCATATGTCAAAGATGTTGCATGTTATTTGATCTTAATACGAAAACAAATGAAATATACACAAAGAACTTACATAAGCACACCCTGTATTTTTGCAATGATAGGTTTTCAACACGTACATAAGACTTCTCGCGGTGACCACGATGGAAAAACATGATGTTTTTTTACCCGTATGATCCTTGACTCTTAAAAAACGACAAAATTATTGGAATCCGTGCTGAGTTTGCTGTCATGTAAAACTATGTCTGTACAAGTATCGCCGTGGAATGATTAATGTTGAATTTATTGGTGAATGTGAACATTCATAATGTTATTTCGCGTGTCCTACACGATTCAAGGTCAATGCCGAGTGTAACCTCCATGTGACTGTATGACAGCCAGCACCCTCCTCCCTGTCAGCCTTCTGATCCTTTGAAGGGGTAGTCTACGCCATCCTCGTGTGAAGCAGCTTCCAATTGGGCCAGGTTCTGTACAGGAGGATCCTTTTTTTGCACAAATCATGTCCCAGATATGCTCTAAAGGGTAAGGATCGGGGCTCATTCAATCGCGAGATATGCCAGGGCCTGCTTAACTAAATTCTTTGTGTATAGTTATGACATGCCTTTAACCGTGAAGAGATTCATATACCAAAAGTGGAGAGACAGTCGTAGACAACTAACGATTAGATATATCTAAATCATTTTTTGTTCCAATCTTTGTTTCATATGCTTGAATATAACAGTACAAATATTATATTACACTTATAGTAAATAGTGAGTGAGTTAGTTGGGTTTTACGCCGCGTTTAGCAATATTCCAGCAATATCACGGCGGGGGACACCACAAATAGGCTTCCAACACTGAACCCATGTGGGAAATCGAACCTGGGTCTTCAGCGTGGCGAGCGAATGCTTTAACCACTAGGCTACCCCACCGCCCCGATTGGTGCATAGATCTGGAGAGTCGGCTGCCACGTGGCTACGTGTATGACTGACAATCATATGATAATACACAAGCATTGGACACAACACTGTTGTATAATGGAGACAAATTGCAAACCATGATCAGTACATGTGACACTGATAGTAAAAGGTTAAAAATACCATATTGACTCTCTTGGCTGCAGCAGGTAAATACCATGTAACAACCGAACCTTGTATTGTGTTCAGGTACAGTGTCAACGGATTTGATAAAACACATAGTCATGGAAAATGTAAGTGTATTATAGACGCAATCAAAGTTTAATTTCTCTTCGAAAAAAAGCATCAACAAAGGGGGAAGGGGCGGTGGGATAGCCTTGTGGTTAAAGCGTTTGCTCGTCACGCCGAAGACGTGGGTTCGATTTGCCACGTGTGAAGCCCATTTCTAGTGATACTGCTGGAATGTTGGTAAAAGCTGCGTAAAAACTAAACACCCACGGGGATAACGGCAGACAAGTCGTCATTGGGAGTAGAATTATATCTTCGGTGATCCGAGGG